AGTCTGGCAGATTCTTACAAAACTAAACAACTATGTATTCTGGGACTCAGTAATTCTTCGGTATTTATCCAAAAGAAATTAAAACACGTCCGCCAAACGACTTAACATGAGAATGCACGGAGCAGCTTGATTATAGCAAAAACTGGACACGTTCGGGTACCTATCCATAGAATGAATCTCATTTAATATTCAGAGAAAAATGAAAAGGAACAATTTACTGAAACACAAATTGCTCATAACGTGGATGAATGTCAAAAACATTTTGCTGCATGGAAGAAGGCATGCACAAAAGAGTGTATGCTCTTTAATTCCAGTGATAGAAGTTCCAGAATTTAAAACTGATCTATGACAAAAAATAAAAATCAGAGTGGTGTTTGCTTGTGGACGGGGTAGGAACTGGTCGAAAGGGGCGTAGGAACTTTCCAGAGGGATGGAAACGTTCCACACCTTCACAGGGGCTTGTTTTCCACATTCATATGCACTCGTCAATACCAGGGACTCGAGCATTTTGTGGTATGTAAATTTTGCCTCAAACTCAAAAACGGCTGTATTTAAATATTAAACATTAGCGAATGGTATGTAGGATGAAGTATTAGAGGAAAGTATACCGATTCTGCAATTTACTTTGAAATGCATCAGAAAAAGAAAAAAAAAAAAAAACACCCCAGCATGGATTGATGGGTTGATTGGGAGAAGGGTAAATGTATGACCGTGGTGACAGGCTGGTGACACAGGCTGGTGACATGGCGAGGGTAGACTCTACGTGATGGGTATATGGTGCACCACCTTTGGAGAGTCCTTCAACTTCGTTTTATGTTTGAAAACTTTTGTGATAGTGAAGTACTTCAAGTCTTTGAAGTTCCCACCAAGAGGAAACGGCCACCCACATGATGTCAGCCACACTAAGGATTGGCCGTGTTCGTTAAAACGCCACCTTCTCCCCCAGAATATACCTCAAAAGTGTCTATTTTTTAAAAATCTGACATTTATTAAGTTCTTACTACATACTAAACACAATGCAAAACGCTTTGCATTCATTATCTCATTTAATATTCAGAACTTTCTTACGGTAGATGTACAATTCATATCTGATTTTATTAGTAAGAAAATGGAGTATTATTGGGGGCCAAGCCTCCCAGCTAACAACCGGAAGAGCCCTGTGAGAACCTGAGCCCCCGATGCCAAGGCCCCCACGTCAACAACTACGCTCAACCTGCCTCCCTCCAAATCCAGAGTCAGAAATGCCTCGGAAGGCATTGCCCCAACGCCGTTATTTTCAAGACAGTCATGAGACCCAGAAAGGAAAACTGATTCTCCCACACGTGAACACTCACTAAGGTCGGGGTCATTTTCTTTGGGTAGTTTCTCTCTCTCTCTCTCTCTCTCAAATCATAAGGATTTTCAGTCAAATAATGCAGTTCCTTATTTTTTTAACGGTGACATTGGTTAATGAAATCCAGTAAGTTTCAAGGGTATAATTCAACAGTAAGGCCTATATACATATTGCACTGTGTGTTCGCCTCCCACAGTTAGATTTCTTTCTGTCACCACATATTTGACCCCTTTCACCCCATCTACCTCTCCGCTCCCCGCCTTTCCTCTGGTAACCACTAGTCTATTGTCCGTGGATCTCTGTTTGTTAGTCCTGTTTGTTGCTTTTAGGTTTATATCCCACATATAAGTGATATCATGTGGTTTTCAACTTTTTCTGTCTGGCTTATTTCACTGAGCATGATTATCTCGAGGTCCATCCATGTTGTTGCAAATGGCAGCATTTCATCTCTTCTTATAGCTGAGTACTATTCCGTTGTACATATGTACCACAGCTGCTTTATCCAAACATCTAGCATAGGACACTTCAGCTGCTTCCATGTCCTGGTCACCGTGAATAATGCCGCTACGAACATCGGTGTGCAAATATCTTCTCGGATATATATTTTCAAGTCTTTGGGGACAGTTTTTC